GAATTAAGAATACAACATCTGAAGTAAACCACTGAAGTTGCAAACAGTAGAATGGAGAAGACAGCACAAAATGTGAAAACTGAGCGATAGAAATGACTGTGTATCTGAAGAAGAGAGAGGAAAATGAAGATCTGCAAAATGATATAAAGTGCCTAACATATGTATAATTGTCATCTCAACAAATTGAGAATAGGGCAGGAGAAAACATTGGGAGAGATAATGGCCACAAAATTCCCAAATGTGGTGAATTTAAAGATTCAAGATGATCTTTGAACCCCTAGCAGGATACACAGGAAGAGAACCATGCCCGGGCATGTAACATTCAAACAATGAAAACCAGAGAGAAGATCTTGACAGTATATAGAGAAAAATGGCACATTACACACAGGGACCAGTGTAGCAAATGACTACTCACTTCTCAGTAGAAAAAACTGAGGCCAGAATTGAGTGGAATGCCACCTTTAAAGTGCTGCAGAAATAGAGACACAGGTGTAGAGAACAAATGTATGGACACCAAGGCGGGAAAGGGGGTGGTGGTAGGATGAATTGGGAGATTGGGATTGACATATATACACGATTATATATAAAATGGATAACTAATAAGAACCTGCTGTATAAAAAAATAAATAAAATAAAAATTTAAAAAATAGAATAAAAGTGCTGAAAGATGCTAACACATATATATGGAATATAAAAAAAAAAGGCTCTGAAGAACCTAGGGGCAGGACAGGAAGATGCTGACGTAGAGAATGGACTTGAGGACACAGGGTGGGAGAAGCTGGGGCGAAGTGAGAGAGTAGCATGGACATATACACACTACCAAATGTAAAATAGCTAGTGGGAAGCAGCCGCATAGCACAGGGAAATCAGCTGGGTGCTTTGTGAACACCTAGAGGGGTGGGATAGGGAGGGTGGGAGGGAGATGCAGAGGGAGGAGATATGGGGATATATGTATACTTATAGCTGATTCACTTTGTTATACAGCAGTAACTAACACACCATTGTCCAGCAATTATACTCCAATAAAGATGTTAAAAAAAAAAAAGTGCTGAAAGAGAAACCAAAATCTTTTCAACTCAGAATTCTCTAACGGGAAACAAATACCTTTCAGAATAAAGGCCAAGTAAAACTGCAGGTGGGTCTCGCTAGTATTATTTCACAAAATGCCGTATTCCTGTTGAACCAAAATGCTTTCTGCTGACAGAGTCTTTTGTTTCTAATGCCCTGAAGGGAAAATGACAGAGACCCAACCTGAACTGAACCCATAGGCCATATCTTTGCCATCCCTGTCTCGTGGTGAAATAAGCACTAGAAGTAGAAAGCAGAAGTGAATAGGAAGAAAGAAGCTAAGTTCATCAGAAAGAAACTTTTACCACTTGGATTATTTCTGGTTCAAAACCTCAGGAGCTTCAGGGTGTAATCTGAAACCTGCCCCCACACGTGGAGGGCAAGGAGAGACCACTCCAGACTGGCAGGGGGGCAGTTTTAATAAGCAAGGGGACTTGGATCTCGGGTGGCCCCAAGACCCGCAGATCTCCTTACCCGCCCGCCAGAATCTTCAAGTTTACAGATAGGCCTTAACTGGGTTCAGTCAGGTATCCAGGCCAGATGGTCTCACTCCCTCAAGGCTGTGTCCTCGGAACGGCTCCCACTGTGGGAACAGTAGGCAGACGCAGCTTCCAAGGACGGGGCGGGGGGAGGAGCCTCCAACTGCCCTGGTCCAGCTCACAGGTCAACCAGGAGTCATGTCCTCTTGATCTCCCCCAACAACTATAAAAACGCCCAACAAAAAGCAATCAAAATTAGAGCTTCAGATACAATAATGTATCTAGTTTATCAGTCAAAATGTTTTAAATATAAAATTTATTTTCCTCTCAATATGCATGACATTGAAATGTTAATACTCTGGCAGAGATCAGAAAACAGAATGTGAGGCTACCCTGCAGGCCTGAATATGCTCACCCCACATCAGTAGCAGTCACTCCTATGTACCACTACTCTTACGTTTCAAAAAGCAGTGAAGAAAAGGATTAGTAATTGGCACCAATGAAGTAAGAAGTTAACATAAGGAAAAAAACTTTTTTTAAAACAAATTACAGAATGATTTTGGAATGCAGTTGAGCAGCTACACATTAAAGTTTAAGTTGTCCATCCTGCAATACTGAGATGTATCAGTAACCCCACCTTTTACCACAGAAGACTTTAGTATCTTTCAGACTGTGAAAAAGAAATGCAAACATCTTGTATAAATAATAAAACTGCAGCTCTTCTTTCTATAAAGGTTATATTGGATTTTAATAAATTCCTTCTACAATGGTATGTAAGTTTTCCAAACCAAAATTTTAAACGTTCCCATTGTTTAGTGATATTGCAAAATATATTTAAAAAAAAACCCTACAAAACCCTACAATATATTATAACTATGGAAGATTTAAGTGGCAAGTATAGTGAAAATAAGAATCATTCTGTCTCCTAATACTGAGCTTCTCTGAGTTAACAGTGTGGTATATTTCCTTCCTGTCTTTTCTCTTCACATGTGTATTTCTGTGTAATTAGTAGCATAAAGTGTATACCATTCATTTTGTATCTTTTTTTAAAAAAAAAAAGCAAGAGAGTAAGGCACTTAGTGAGTTTCCAGAAAGTCTCAATATCAGACCAGAGCTGGCAGGAGTCAGTAAGCCCTGGCGGGTGCAGAGCCCACCCCTGTGGAGTTGCCCCAGGTAAGCTGCTCCACTGGTCTGTGGGTTGCACCCAGCTGTTAGGCCCTCTTGCAAGTATCTGTAGAACAGCCCTCGCTGTTGACTGGTGCTTGACCAGTGCTTGACGGATACGTTCACTGCGCCCAGAACCAGACTGACACGGGGTAGGGGAAACTGCAGGATCCCATGGGGACATTTTACTTTCCCAGTGCCAGGTGGCTGTCACTCTGGAGCTACCTCCTCAGGACCAGTGGCTCCTGCCCACACCAGGGATGACAGTTGGATTGGTACCCTCTGTGGTCCTTGGCAGCTATTAGCAGATGGTCGATGACCCCACAGTCAGGAGCAAGGAAGCTACAAAAAGGACCTTTCTTTTCCCAATTCTGGGGGTATCAATATTTGAGAAGGATCCCAGAGGCAAATAACACATCCCACGATGGCTAAACTCAACCACTGAGTGGCCACCCGAAAAGAGGAAGACAATAAATGTTTCCCAAGGAATGTCTGCCCAAGAACAAATCATAATAAAGTGCTGAACAGAAATGGCTGCGACAGTCCTCAGTAAATAAACAACACGAAAGGGAGTCCAGCTGAAACGTCTTCCGGAGAGGTTGAGGCTCTTCCGCCCAAGAAGTGTCCCAACATGAACCCTTCCAAGAGCACATAAAATGGAAACAAACACTTCAAACGTACAATAAAATAAACTGATATTTTTAAGTTTGATGCTTTACTAAAACGACTGAAACCTGAGTCTCATGTGGTCTGTCCAGTACTTTCCAATGTCGACTGTTAACCCCTGCTCTCTACGTGCCCCGCATTCTCTCCTGAACATTCACTAACCCTCCATCCCAGCACTGCCACCTCACTGCAGCAACCTCCAAAACCAACTACCAACTACAATTTACAAAGTGCGAAGGCAGAGTACAACCTAACTAGATTCTTCTTTGAGGAAGGGGATTGGAATTTTTTTCTCCCAGCAGATGGATAATCATAACCTCCCTTTAGGCAATGGGGACCATCAAAGATTTTAAAGCATGAAGGGTGGGTATGACTAGAGCTGTGTTCTAGAGAGTGAAAGCAATCTGCAGATTTGTATTTGGGTTCTTGGAACTTAGTAGAATTTTACAATGTTTGCTAAATAAATGCCTGATGACGATTGTTTATTGAATTAATATCCCTCAATGGACCAAGCGTTTGTTGGGCACCGGCTAGAGGCACAGGGTGATCCCTAACTCATGACTAAAGGTTTTCTAGTACATTCTAAATTGTTGTTGTGTGGTTGAACGCTTCCCGGAAAGTTTTACTGGTGTCAATACCCTGCAGTATTGCCAAGAAGCCACTTTACCATCGGAACCGAAGGCAGTTTGAAAAAGAAATTACTGAATGATCTTCTGAATGTCTCTACTACATACTCACTGATGAGTGAAACTTTATTACCTTTAAAGTCTTATAATATCAGCTACACCATATTAAAAAGACATCTCCTGAGGATATTAAATAAAGTAAACGTGAAAAGTGTTAACTACTCGAATCATAGTTAATGAGAACAGAGATCAAGACATGAGTTGCTGATTCAAATATTTCACTCAGGCCTGAACGGAGTAGAAAACGCTGGTTATCACTTAATTGAAATAAAAGTATTCAGTCCTGAATCCTTATGTTACATAGCAGACCAGGAGTTCCCTTATCCACCAAACGCATCTAATACCATTACTAACTTCAGCTCCACATATGTCCAACAGCCAACAAATAGGTATTAATGAGAACAATCTGTTAATAACATGCTAATAAACACATGCTTCTCTGCACATAAAGAAGGTAGAAGCAAAAACAGGCGTAGCAAACACAAGACAAAAGCTCAGAGCACAGATTCAGGTAACATCAAATCTAAGATCCAAAGTACTTGCCTTCTTTCAGTTAAAAAAAAAAGAAATTAGAAATACTCTAAAATATTTTTAAAGCACATTGATACATAACACGGCTGCGCAGCTTCCCTGTGTAACCCAGGTAAGGAATTTCCTCGCAAACTAACCACTACCTAAGGTGAGAACAGACTGGTGAGGCAGAAAAGAGGACAACTGACCATGGCCAAGCAAGGCTGTGCCGCGCACGAGATCGCCGTGGAACCGAGACCTCCGTGGGGATCTGCTTCTCTGCGTGCGGACAGAGATGCTTCCCTGGGCATGTCCCTCCCGCTCTGGGCCACTGGAGAGGTTCTCAGAACAGCTCCTCAGAGGGCCGCTGCCCGCCCCTTTCCTCCGAACGTCAGTAATTTCCTGGAAATCATTCCAGGCACGCAGCGGCCCATTAAAGTTAATTACGCACGTGTCCGTGACACCGACAAGAGCGTGCGCCCCGGGCAGAGCCCAGAACGCTTCCCGGGAAGCCCTTAATGGAAGCTCCGGCGCAGGTGTCACGGGCTGATTCCGAGAGGCCCTGCCTCCCCCCGCGGCTGACCTCTCGCCCTCCCCGAAACGCGGCAATCAGTGGGAACAGCTGCGTCTGCCAGCAAGTCGGCCGCGCCCCGGGCAGCCGAGAGCAGTTGCACCTGCAGAGCCTGGCGTTGGCTTTGGGTCGATTAAACACCACTTGTTCTCACAAACCCCCGCGCCCGGTCTACCGACAGGACTCAAGGACCCCCTCCCCGGCTGAGGAGGGGCCGGCAGCTCGGAATACGCAAACCAGCGCCTGTCCACTCGCCCGCAAACTGCAGCCGCCACCTGCTCTCCAGGTTCCCGCACCAGCCCCTCCGTCGCGGGTCCCTTACCTTGTGGCCTTTCCCCGGGGGACATCTGACGTTATTGGAGGCTCCCGCTGTCTGATTCATGTCCGGAGGAAGTTGGAGGCCGATTCTCCACCTTTAAAAAAGTTCCTTGGCGCGTGGAGGATGGCAAGGTGCGCGTCTCCCGGAGGCGAGGTGGGTCCTCCCTGTGCAGTCACGTCCGGGCGGCGTCCCCACGCGGCAGGTTTCCGTGGGGCCCCCCGCCCAGGGATGCTAAGCCCTGCAGCCCGAACCGAAGAAGGAGAAGCAGCTGCTGCGACCCGGAGGAAGCCCGGCCGGCGCCGCCTGCTCCGAGGGCGCTCGGCCCAGGGCTGCCTTCCCTGGAAATAGTCCAGGACTCTCCAGACCAGAAGCGCGAGCAAATCCAAAAGGCGAGCTCCGAGGTGGGGCGAGGAGGTAAGTGTATGGGGAGGGTGGGAGCGGCAGGACTGAGCTCTTCCACCCGAGTAAGGGGTGGGGAAAGCCGCGGAAGCACGAGAAGCCCGCGCCCCCGCCCCCTCGCCCCCCCGGGCGGAGCTGCGGCTGCAGGGCGCGTAGCGCACGGGCTCGCGCGGGCCTCCAGCACCGACCTTCGCACACCCCTCCACGCCCTCCAGCGCCGCGCCTGCAGCCGCAGTCCGTGCGGACCAGGCAGCCCAGCCGGCCGGCACGGCTGAATTGAGCAGGGCCACTTGGAGGGGCGGGCGCCCGCTCTCGCCTGCAGCTCGTGCCCCGGCTGGAGCCGCCAAATCTTCCCGGGATGGTCGGAAGGTGGCAAAAGAGGCTCTGCCGGGCGCCACTGCACGGGGAAGGCGAGGCAGTGGAGGGGGCGGAGGACGAGCTGGGACGGTACCCAGGCTCCTCGGCAGAGTCCCCACCAGGCAGGCGCTGCGCGAGGCGCCATCTGCGTGACCTGGGCCGTGCTGGGGGGAGGGCAGCAGAGTGCTTCCACTTCTTTCTGAAGTGAAGTATTTGCATGTCCCCAGGGTTTTTTCTTTGTATGTTCTCCTCCGTCTTCTTTCTTTGGCGCCTGGGAAGTCGTGGTCTAATTAGGCAGCCTTCGGGTAGAGGTGGAAAATTTGACCCTTGAGAACTAAAAATAAAGAAATCAAGAAAGGGCACCTGGTCCATGAAGACTGCATTGCAACAGTTAGAATCACAAGTCTGAACAGTGGACCGTTAGGATACAGCCATGTTATTTAGCCAAATGTGAAGTTTTGCCTAGATTTCTCTAGGTAGTGGTAGTTTGAATATTCTGTGTGGAAATGTCAAGGCTCATAATTCGGTTTCGATTTCCCAGTCCCACAGCCTTAGTTTCATCATGTGTAAAACGAAGGACGGAGTTGGTTTCACCTGTGGGAACCAGAGCTGCACGGGGAGTTGCTAACAGAAGCACATCTCCATATGGTGCCCCTAGAACAGTAGAAGGGAGATTTCAGTCTCAGGTGTTGACTGACGTTCAATCATTTCTTTAATAGTCCCGCGTCCAAACAGGAATCGTCTCCGTTTTGTAAAATAAGTTATCATGTACCGTCGCTTTTGCCCACTGACAGTTCAAAGGTGACTCGTGACATTTCTGTTCCACAAATGTGAAGGCACATTTGGGGCATCTGAGTACTGTAGTGGACACGGCATGGCTGTGGAGGCAGGTGTCGGTCTAGAATCTTGGCTTTGCTTTCCCTGGTAAATATCTCTGGGCAAATTATTTCTCTCATTGATTTTACAGCTCTGAGGTAGGTGTTATCGTGCTGTGTTCTGGGTAAAGAAACTGGCTCCGAAATATTGATGTGTAGAAGGGGCTTAGCAAGGCGGTAGGCGTCATCAGGTGGCAGGGGTCATTGTTACGGCTGCCTGGAGCGACTGGGAGCGCTTCACACTAACACATATGCTCAAGTCCACTCTTTTCTGGAGGTAAAATCCACAAGTGGGTGGCGCCCTGAGGCCCCGCAGAGTTTCCCGCCCCCGCACTGCTCCACTCTCAGCCTCCAGAAATTCATCGCAATTCCCACTGAGGGAGGGTCCTTCGGGTTTGCGTCTCCAGGGAAGCAGATCTCAGCCCCACCTTCCTGTATTCACTCACCTCTGCAGATTCCTGGGAAGCCCAGTGCCCTGGCGCCTCCATGCTCTTCTGGGTCCAAGAAACATCATCGATTTTCAGTGCATTCAGGTTTTCCTTGTTGTAAGGATGGGAGTGATGACTCCTAAACTCTTTCCATGTTGGGGCTGAAACCAGAAGTCTCTGAGTATATCTTTTTAGTCTTGGGGTCTCCTGTTGTCTTTTTGTTTAAATATTCTTTTTTTTTTTTTTGGCTGCGCTGGGTCTTTATTGCTGCGCGCAGGCTTTCTCTAGTTGCGGCGAGTTGGAGCTGCTCTTCGTTGCGGTGTGTGGGCCTCTCACTGTGGTGACCTCTCCTGTTACGGAGCACCGGCTCCAGAGCGCAGGCCCCAGCAGTTGTGGCACGTGGGCTCAGTAGTTGTGGCTCGCAGGCTCTAGAGCACAGGCTCAGCAGTTGTGGTGCACGAGCCTAGTTGCTCCACGACATGTGGGATCTTCCCTGACCAGGGCTCGAACCCGTGTCCCTTGCATTGGCAGGCAGACTCCCAACCACTGTGCCACCAGGGAAGCCCTGTTTAAATATTCTTACCTCACTTTATCTCTCCTTCTCTCATATTATACTATAAGCAGCAAGGAAAACCCAGATGGTAACTTTTACAGTGCTCAGAAGTCCCTTTAGTTAAATAACCAAGTTTATTAGGTAACAGTAGAAAACCTCTTCTGTTTTCAGCGTAACTGCAGACTATGCTATCACTAAGCATAGGATCCAATGGAATCCTTGGGAGGCATTTCAGAAGCTGCCTTCTATAACCCATATCGCTATTTTTTTTAATCTTATTAAAGTATAGTTGATTTACAATGTTGTGTTAATTTCTGCTGTACAGCAAAGTGACTCAGTTATACATATATTCTTTTTTGTATTCTTTTCCATTATGGTTTATCACAGGATATTAAATATAGTTCCTATACAGTAGGACCTTGTTGTTTATCCATTCTATACATAATAGTTTGCATTCGCTAATCCCAAACTCCCAATCCTTCCCTTCCCCACTCCCCTCCCCCTGGCAACCACAAGTCTGTTCCCTATGTCTGTGAGTCTGTTTTTATTTCATACATAAGTTCATCTGTGTCGTATTTTAGATTCCACATATAAGTGCACATCACTATTTTTTAATGATTAATTTGAAGGTTAGAAAATTCACTGTAGTGTGGCCAGCTTTACTAATGAATCGTACTTTGGGGATAGTAAAATTTGGAGCTTACAGATCTGGCCGTATTCGTTAGTGATCCATTTTTCAGTCCTGAATAAGCAGTACTATACAAAAGATCACACTGTGTCAGGCTTGAAGAAGAAAATAAGGATACGGGCAGAAGTTTCCCAGTTCTTTTCCTTCCTCCATTGCTGCCCACTTCCCAGACCCTCCCCCATCACTGGGACACCCGTGAGCTGTGTACTTGCTACTCTGCAGTGTAGTTGCTGTCTTCCAAGTCCCCCAGGCATCTTCTCAACGGCCCTGAAGTTGGAGCAAACACCACCCACCCCAGATTAGGGCAACAGAGGAGTTCTCCAAGGTAAAATGTGAACCATCAATCCACACTTCTCAACGTCCTTCCTCCCAGGAGTCAGGAAATCAGTACCTAGAACGAACGAGTCAAATGTGACATAGGTTTTACCAGGTGAAACACAGCCTCGCATTATTGGCTGCATTCGGCTACTGTTTCCTTGCTTAACAATTGTCTGTTTTGCTTTTTCTATAACTTGAATTGGGGATTTAAAAACAGACCAGTGCTGATATTCAGTATCTGAGGGAAGAGTGGAAACCTGGGCCTAGCCCTGGGGTTTCTGCTAATTGCTCCAGGGGATGAGCTGTAATGTCACCATCAGGCCACCACCACTGGGAGTTTTTACATCAAGTTTTAGTGGCCGTTCCATGTTTCTGACGGTGAGATTTCAAGTTTACCGGTCTCTGTCTTTTAGCTGCCCGCTCTTCACACCACGCTAAGCAAACGACAGAACAACAACAAAATGAGGTGACACGTCGTGCATTGTATTTGATTAAAATTCCTATCTGTGATCATCTCTTTCAGAAAAGTGGGATAGCTTTAGTTTACCCACCTGCGATGCAAGCTGGCATCCAGCCTTTACAGCAGAGGGAGGCAGACGCAAAAGCCAGGGACATTTTGAACGTGTGACTACACACTGGCTGTCTCACCTTTAGCTCTGGATCTGGGAGAAGAGTGAAATGAATTTATTGTAAGTCATCCTCTCTCATCAGTCTAGAAGCAGCACTGAGAAAAATACATTCCGCGTAGGAGCAGTCTTCCTATGATGCCCCCTACCACGTCCACAATTAATTTAGCATCAACATTCATTAATATTTATTGAACACCTACTGAACTTTCAGTGGGCCCTCTGCGGAGCTGATGTTTCTGCAGAGCACTGAGACCAAGCACATATCGGTCACTGTGGCATCTGGGGCAATTCTGGGCAATTCTGGAATGCTCCTAAATTCTGGAATGCCGTGAGAAAATTTCTGGCACATAGTGTGAAAGCTCTGTCCTCCTAGGAGCTATGATGGATATTCATATATTTGCAGGTACATCATCTATTCCTTTGCAAGTCAGTCCAGAAGAATTTGTCATGTTGATTGCTTTGGCGCTTTCAGCCCTTATTAAAATGAGTTGGTTATATAACCCCAGGCTGTGGAGTAGTCCAAGCCTGCATTTTGCAAACAATGACCACCAATTAGAAGTCTGTTCTAAACACCCTGTTCTACAGAATCTGTTCTTCTTCAGTGTGAGACTCATGTCATCAAACCCATTACCTGCCCCTAGAGTGTGCCCACCCTGGCCCCCTTGGCTCGCTAGGGCTTCTTGCAATGCTAGCTCTGCTCTTATTTGAAACTTAACTGTCTTGTACCTTGTTTCCTTACTCAAATTTTACTTGAGAAAAATTTGCTCTAATGGTATGTACTTCCCAATATGGAAGACTATTGGGTCTTCCATATGATGGCCTGATTCTTTAACTTTTAAATAGTCTGTTCAATTTATTTCATAAAGAAAGAAAAAAAGGCTGTTAGAAGCTCATGGTGGGGGACTTCCCTGGTGTCACAGTGGCTGAGAATCGGCCTGCCAAGGCAGGGGACACGTGTTCGAGCCCTGGTCCGGGAAGATCGCACATGCTGAGGAGCAACTAAGCCCATGCACCACAGCTGCTGAGCCCCTTGTGCCACAACTACTGAAGCCCCCACGTCTAGAGCCCGTGCTCCGCAACAAGAGAAGCCACCGCACTGAGAAGCCCGCGCACTGCAACGAAGAGTAGCCCCCGCTCGCCGCAACCAGAGAAAGCCCACACACAGCA